AAATCAAGCAGAATGTAAAATGTAATAAAAACACTAAAACTGTAGGAGGAGCAGACGATAGTGGCATGAATCTTTCCTAATTGTTTTTCTTTGAGTCTAGGGTTTCCTCTCAAAACTGAGCACACTTTGTTACTACAGGTTACTTACTTGTTACTTACACCCTTGTAAGGCCATTGTTTTGTGGGTTAGAATTTTAGTGTTTAGTCAAAATTAATGTAATGAGAGAAGCTGAAAGTGAAGTTTCCTATTTTCTCACAATAAAGGCTCACAGGTGGGCACAAAGTCTTTCCCCCTGATCCATCAAGCAGAAACACATGGTGGAAAAAAGGGTTGAGAGAGGATAAGGGATTTCTATTATCTGACATGGCTATGAGCATTCTAATAATGGAGAAAGGGGAGGAAATTTTAGAAGTTAACTTTGGCAATGCAGTGCTGTGGTCTGAAAATACAGGGCTTGAGTTCAATTTGGATTCAGATCCTGTTTCCAAGGTTGGGTTCTTGCCAGACTTCTCTTTGAGGTTCTATTTCCCATTCCAAATTAAATAAATATAAAAGTTCATATAAAGCTACTGAGGATTAACTATGTCATGTTACATGTACTCTGAAACCAAACATTTGAGGAATAAATAGGAAATTATATCAGTTAAGTTTTTATGTTTTTTGAAAATTTCAGGGCAATGAACATTACTATACATTGCCAGCAAGGAGGGAAATGTGCTTTTCTTATTTAATAGTGTATTAAAGTTTATTATAGAAATAAAAACAAAGATTAGAGGTGTTAAAAAGGAAAGACAGAGGAAAAAATAGAAAAGAAAAAAAATAGTGACTTCAGCAATACAATACGAAAACAGTTTTAGCCTCAACTCCTTGCTTCACATTTCTGAGGATTTCAAGGTCTTTCTATTATAAAGTCATTCTAGTCTTAAAAATCTAAAATGAAAGTTTTATCTTCTTCGGTTACAAGCACAAAGTCCAGAAGTGGTTTCCAAGTAGAACAAAGCACTAGATAAATTCTGCTCTTTAATTAAAACAGTCAAATTTGCCGTCACAGCCAACATCAGCACCATCATTCTTTCTTCTGAATGAAGATACAAATCTGATGTCAGTATTTCTTGGCTTTGTCACAAGTCTACCAGAGATGATAAAATGCCAATTTACACTTGGCATTTTCAGCATCATTATTTTTGGGCATTAAATACCTGTGATACATGGCTCTTATTTTAAGGATAATTGTAATTGTAATTAATCCCACCTTAATAAATCTGTTGCAAGGAAGGAAATGTATGATGGTCCTAGAAATTGTGACAATTCAGTAAGTACAAATAGTATGATTCTGATGTTCAATCCATGGATAATGTAGAGGTAGTTATAGCCACATGATCCAAAATGTTATCTATTTATTTATCAAATTTATATAACTGCCCATCTCACAAAAAGCAATTCTGAATTGTGTATAACAATTAATTGAAGCAAAACATATATTAAAAAGTCAAGATTAAAATGTAAAAAATGACAAATGCTAGAGAGAGTTATTCAACATGGAGCTGCCTCAATCCCAGGCCTTATGCCACAGCCAACGTAGATGGAACTAGCCTCATTTCAGGAGGAAGAACGTTGTGGAGGGCAAATGGCATGGAAGACAAGAACCACCTCCTGGGCCCCCAGCATGCCCTTCCTGCTGGATCTAATGGAAAAGGCAGATGTGACTGGGGAGAGTCAGTTCCTCAGAGAAACCAGCCCCATGCCATGAAGGACTTTAAAGGTTAAAATATTTGCCTTTTCCCCAAACATTTCTCTTTTATAGTGGAAATGATGCAAATAGGTAGGAGGACAAACCCTGGCTCATAGGATTTGACTCACCCACCACTCTAATAAGGTAAGCTGGCATGGTCTAGAACAGTGGTTCCCAAAGTGGGCGGTACCGCCCCCTGGGGGGTGGTGAGATGACTTAGGGGGGGAGGGGGTGCTAAGAGGCAAGGGGGACGGCAGAGGGGTGCTAAGAGGTGAGGAGGTAGCAGGGTGGTGGTGAAATGACTTAGGGGGTGCAGGGGGTGCTAAGAGGCAAGAGGGACGGCAGAGGGGTGCTAAGAGGTGAGGGGGCAGCAGGGTGGTGGTGGTGGTGGAGCTAAGAGGGCAAGGAAAAAAAGATTGTGTATTGTGTTGGCTGCAGAAAGCGTCGCCCCTAGGTTGGTAGCTTCCCCTTAGCTAATTCTCAGATGGAAAGGAGAAACTTGCTGAGTAGAAGATGGACTGTTTAAAGCCCATCAGCGCGGGCAGAAGGACGAAATTACCCAAACAAACCTGGAAATAGCTGCGATTCCCTTTAAGCAATGTCACCACCAGTGACGTGCAGTGAGGTTTATGGCTGGTGAGGCAAGCGGGCAAAAGCCACCCTATGTCTGCTAGTGGTGGGGCTTCACTGGGGCTTTTGGAAAGCCCCCCAAAGCCCCGGCGTGGTGTGGCTTCGGCGTGGCTTTTGGAAAGCCGCGCCAGGGCTTTGGGAGGGCTTTCCAAAAGCCCCGGCGAAGCCCTGGTGAAGCCCCGAAGCCCCGGCATTCAGACCATTGCTTTCTGACTGCTTCTCACCGCGGTCCACTGCCTCGCCCCCACCTCCTCCTCTGATGAACAAGCTGCTGGCGGTGGCAGCAGGGGCCACCTGAGTGGCCATGATCCCCCTTCCCCAGCCAGCCAGCCCACCCACCCCTGCCCAACTTACTTCCCACCTGGCTGGCCGGCTGGCACAAGGCCTCTCCGCTCTCCCTCCTCCTCCTCCCTGCTCAAGCGGTGGCAGGCTCTGCAGGACAATGGGGTCTCATTCCTCCCCCGGCGCGGTGAGCTCCAGTGGGCTGGACACGGGTGACTGGCAAAAGAAAGAAAGTGCCAGCCCACCAGCAGAGGTGGGTAAAAGACCCACCTCTGCTGGTGGGCTGCCCCTCTCTTCTCAAACAAGGCTGCCACTCTCTTCTCAAACAACCCCTCTCTCAAATTGAGAGAGAGTTTGTTTGAGTGAAGTGAAGAAACAAACACACGCACACAAACACACACACACACACACACACACA